TCCTCTGCACCCTTTCCAATGCTTCCACATCCTTCCTATAATGCGGTGACCAGAACTGTACGCAATACTCCAAGTGCGGCCGCACCAGAGTTTTGTACAGCTGCAACATGACCTCATGGCTCCGAAACTCAATCCCTCTACCAATAAAACCTAACACACCGTACGCCTTCTTAACAACGCTATCAACCTGGGTGGCAACTTTCAGTGATCTATGCACATGGACACCGAGATCTCTCTGCTCATCCACACTACCAAGAATCTTACCATTAGCCCAATACTCTATATTCCTGTTACTCCTTCCAAAGTGAATCACCTCACACTCTTCCGCATTAAACTCCATTTGCCACCTCTCAGCCCAGCTCTGCAGCTTATCTATGTCCCTCTGTAACCTGCAACATCCTTCCGCACTATCCACAACTCTACCGACTTTGGTGTCATTCGCAAATTTACTAACCCATCCTTCTACGTCCTCATCCAGGTCATTTATAAAAATGACAAACAGCAGTGGCCCCAAAACAGATCCTTGAGGTACACCACCAGTAACTAAACTCCAGGATGAACATTTCCCATCAACCACCACCCTCTGTCTTCTTACAGCTAGCCAATTTCTGATCCAAACTGCTAAATCACCCTCAATCCCATGCCTCCGTATTTTCTGCAATAGCCTACCATGGGGAACCTTATCAAACGCTTTACTGAAATCCATATACACCACATCAACCGCTTTACCCTCATCCACCTGTTTGGTTTAAATGTTTCTGAGTGGCACAGGAGACCAGGGATATTGATGCTCCTCCACTCATCCTTCTTGTGCAGGTCCTACCTGCCCTGGAAGAGATCCCAGTGATTCATTTGCATTCCAGTTCTATAAACAAAAAGCTGCAAAGTAGGAGGAGTGTAGTTGGCTCTGTGTTGACTGCTCGACATGATGGACCAAATGGCCACCTTCTGTTCTGTAAACATCTAAACATCTATGGAGGATGGTGGGGGATAGAGACAGAGAATGGGGGATAGAGACAGAGAATGGGGAAGCAAGGATTGAAACGAAAGATAGAAAAGTAAGAAGCAAACATAGAAGGCAGAAAATACAAAGACAATAAATTGGGCCATCGTGCAAGATTATGCTAAGATGACGAACAAGGTTAAAAAGACAAGTCTAAAGGCATTCGCAATAATGTTGATGCATTAACAGTACAGAGAAATACATGGCTTAAGATATAGATGTGAGTATAGAGGCATGGCTGGAGGGTGATCAAGCATGGGAATTGAACATCCTGGGTATTCGATATTTAAGAATGACAGACAAATGGGAAAGAAGATTGGGTAGAACTGTTAGTAAAGTGTATGTGGAAGACACATGGCAGATGCAGCATTATGTGGGTACATGTGAAGTTCTACACTTTTTGGTGTGAAAAGCAGAAAGACAAAGTATTATTTGATATATTGGGAAATGTGAATGTACAAAGAGATCTGGATGTCTTTGTACACCAATCAATGAAAGTAGATAGGCAAGTGCAGAAAACGAGCACAAAAGCATATGGTATGTTGGCCTCCAATGCAATAGGAATTGAGATCAGAAGTAGGGATGCCTTACTGCAGTTTTACAGGGTCTTGGTGAGACCACACCTAGAGTATTATGTGCAGGTTTGCTTCCTCTATCAAGGAGATGATACACTTGCCAAAAATGGAGTGCAGCAGAGGTTCACGAGGTATATGTTGGGATGTCAGTCCTGTTTATTGAGGAGAGATTGTTTTGACTGTGTGCTTATTCGATTAGGTGAGAAGGGATCTGATTGAAGCCTATAAAATTCTAACAGGACAAGACAGACTTGATGCAGGGTGGATGTTTTACCTAGCCAGGGAGTCCAGAACCAGGGGTTGCAGTCACATGATTTGGGGTGTAAGCCATTTAGGACTGAGATGAGGAAACAATTCTTCACTCGGAGAGTCGTCGACCTGTGGAATTAGTTACCACAGAAGGCTGTGGAGGCCAAGTCACTTGAGTATATTCAAGAAAGAGAGAACTTTTTAAATTTAAAAGACATTAGGTATGGTGAGAAAGTGGGAATGTAGCATTGAGATAGAGGATCAGTCACAATCACATTGAATGGCTGAGCGTCTGAATGGCCCACTCCTGCTCCTATTTTCTGTTTCTGTGGGAATTTCCCAGGAAATTTGACGTTGTCATGGGCAATTCCTTTGCTCCCTGGAACTTGCTGCCAATGTCTCTGATTCTGAGAGAGCCAGAAATTTCAGAGAGTTCCAATGTACTTACTTGGATAGTTATTGAGGAAATATTGGATAGAAAAATTCTACCTCATAGGCAATGACAGAACCAACTCCTAGCACCCTGACTCCCTGAAACCTCTCACCCTACCTCCCCCCAACCCCAGTTACTACACTGCCTCCTAAAGAACACAAATGTTTGGCTCACTGGATCAACCCCTGATCCCTCCCAAACCAATCTAAGTCAACCAGCTTCCTGAGCACATTCCCCTTCCTGATGAAAGTTTGACTATTCTCTACCCTATCTACCTATGACTACACCTACCACCTCACCCATCTCTCCACCTGCCACTCTACCCGCCCATTCTTCCATTCATCCTTTCATCCATTCTTCCACCCACACTTTCACTCATTTCTCCATCCTTTAATCCATTCATTAGCACTCACATTGGATGTTTAAAAATACCAGATGGCAGCCAGTGACATAAAAAGATGTGTTTTATCTAATCCCTGACTCTACAGTACTGTGACAGAGCTCTTTCAGCAATGCTGCATTTGGCATTTCACTGAAAGCTGGGCTCACATGACCCAGTAAGAAATGTAAAGCAGTGCCAAGACAGGGGAAGTTTGAGCGTAGACTTAACGTGATGTTGGCGCTGTTCCTCTGAAGATTTGGCCATTATTTGCTCATTGTCACTTTAATGTTGGTGGAAGTTTGAGCATGAGTGCTGCATTTCTTGTATTAGAATAATGATTGTATTTCAAAAGAATACTATTTGGCTGTAAAGTGCTTTGAGATGTCCAGTGGTTATAAGAAGTGCTACATAAATTGTGATGAAAGATGTTTTAATATATTTTTGGGATTCAGATTTTAAAATAATGGCAGATAGCTATGGGTCAGTTCTGTGAAGTTTTGTTTTAGAAGGTCAAAGTTGATTTGGAACGGTGGCCTAAGTTCATTAGTTCCATAAAAGCAGTTAATTAGAATAGAATTCCTGAGAGAATGAATCCCTGTGGTGTTGATGGATAAAATGTTTATTATGCTGGATTTATGACAGAGTAAACACATTAAGGCAGTTAGTCTAATTTTGGTTTTAGCATAGAAGGTTCAAGGTTTTAGTTCAGATGAGCTGAGAGTTAAGTTCAGAAGGTCAAATAGTTTCTCCCAGGAAAAAAAATCGAGTTCCGAGAATTGGTGACTCTCGCTGAAAAGTTTTAGTATGGAGCTTCCAAACTGGGAAAGTTTGGATAGAAATCTTCACGTTGTTAGAACTGTGAAAGTTTAGACCATCAGAATTGAGAGAGGTTCATACGAGCATTGTCTCCACAGTCCATGGGAAAGAAACTGGAAAGTATCAGTTAACTAATGACTCAAAATAGCTGAGATTGGAGTGACATTTATCTAGAATTGAGTCTCTCTAGCAGATGGTGTGGAGAAATACTTGAAACTTTGTTTCGATACATGTGTTAAAATCTTCCTGACCATATATATAGCTTTTTTCCGTTTGGTATAATAAACTTAAGCTCTGCTTTAAAAAACCTCATTTGAACGTGTTGCAGTGACTAACCACCTCATTAAACAATTGCAAAACAAAATCTATTAAGCCAGGTTTCTTTCTGGGATGTGCCTTCACCACAATTCCCATTGGCTGCATCATAGCAAAATGCAAATCTGTCCTTTTAAAGTTTTATAATCTCTTATAATTGGCAAAAGAACTGTGAACGAACGCTTTAATATGAAGACAACAACTGGTTACTGACAATTATAGCATTTCTAAGAATTTGATTCAGCTTCTCATTATTATTATTATGATCTCATTTCCTTCACTGGTAGAATCAGGAAGCCCAGGAAATTCATTCATGAATGCTAATTGAAAAATGCATTGAAATAGTGTTTGAATTGAGAAATTAGCATGCCTTCATGTGCAACCCATCTCTCCCAAGGGAGCAAGCATTCTAATTGAATGTGGATGTCAATGGGTTAGAGTTAATCTGAAATTTTTTGACAGTTAGAAACATCTAATTGTGCACAAACCCATGTGCTACTCTAAGTTAAAATTTTCTCCAATAAAGTAAAGGACTGCAGATACTGGAAACCTGAAACAAACATAAAGAATGCTAGAGAAACTCCACGGGTCTGGCAGCATCTGTGGAGAGAGAAACTGAGTTAACATTTTGTGTCTGGTCTGACTCTTCTCCACAACTTAAGAACTTCAGAACAGATCAGACTAGTGCAAACATATTTGTTTTGCAGTTTGAACAATACGTCAGAGCAATTATATTTGACAAGGTATTATTTATGCATGAGAATAGAATCAATCCACAAAGAACTGAAACATCCCTTTCTACATGAATTTCTTGCAGTTTCATATGTGATAGCACTTAATAGTCTCTTTAGATTTTTTCTGATGCAACTTGAATTTTGATTATATATTCCTTTTACTGCTAGTGTGTTTCGTAACCTGAACTAAGTCAGAGCAACTTCAGCTTTATAACATGTACGAATGTTGCAACTTACGAAGTCAATAATTTAACTGTGCATATGGTGAAACTGACATCTTGATGGATGTAAATGTTGAGCATAACCATGTTCCTCTATCACCCTCCTGATGGATCAATAATCAAAAATGTGAAGTTTATTTAGAGGAAAAGATGAATCCGGGGCTAAAAATAAATAATTACATAATTTTGGTGCGTCAGAACTTGAGCTTTTAATTATTCCAATGTTATTACGTTTTTTGCCAGGTTTCTTTCAAACATGCATCTTTTTACAGGCTCAAAACTAGATATAACTTGCACAGTAATGGCTGACCTTCATTCAAGGATTGAAATATTGGTGTACTGGCTAGCTAATCACAGTTATATTGAAGACTACAGCAAAAACACTAGAGTTAGAGAAATTCGAAGGTATGTATTCTTTAAATTATTAATTAGAAAATAATAGCTTTTATGAAACATTTGGAGTTGTAATCTATTTTCGCAGTTTTTGTGTCATAGCTTATTCTAAACATGAAACCTCTTGTTGCAACAAAGACTGTATTACCACACAGGTTCAAAACAGCTTCATTTTGGTTTGGTTGCCATATGAGACTTACTAGTTTAGACACATGCATGTTGGTTAATTATTCTTAGGAAAGTAACTATTGCATTACTCTCTATCTAAGGTAATTGGGTAATTGTGAGCTAGGCTGCTGTAATTGGCTTGGCATTTGTTCTAGATTTTTGCTGCTACTGTGTGTGAGGCTTAGAATTAATCATTGCTTTGTAGTACTGAACTTGAATGTTGCTGAGAAGAAATGCAGTTGCTAAAGCTTGCAGTTGCACTCATTTAGGACAGATGCAAGAATACAAAATTTCAAACAATCGCTATAATTTACATGCTATGAGGAAAGGAGTGTTGATTGGTTGACAAGTCAACTCTGGTTAGGATACAGAGAAAGCATAGAGAACTTTAGGCTCCCCAGACTTCGAGTAAGGAAAAATAAGTGTAAAGCTTGACTACGTACCCTTTTTTTTTCTGGAGAGCCTGTCCCTGCATATGAATATATGTCACTTTTCTGTTTGAAGCACAACAGATTACTTTGACTTGGTTGTTGGTGTAGATTTTTTTAAAAACTATGCTCAGGATTGTTAGGCAAATGCTGCCCTAATGAGTCCTATTTAACAGTAGATGTTTTGTTTTGGAGATTGCAAGTATGGCTGCCTCAGTACAGTTTGCAGGAGCAACATGTTATTCAATTCAGTTAGCGAATTGTTGGGTTGTATGAGGTGTACTTGCAATCATACCGATAAGATAATGACCTCATTCTTGCCAATCTGCCTGCCATAGATGCATCTGTCCATGACAGAATCAGTGGAGTGAGCACCACCTTCCTTGTGGAGACAAGTCCATGTTCACATTGAGGATACCTTGTGTTGTGTTGTGTGGTGCTACCACCATGCTAAATATGTCTGACTTAGATTTAGAACAGATCCAGCAAATCAAGACTGGACAACCATGAGGTGTTGTGGGCCAGCAGTAACAGAATTGTATTCAACCACAATCTGTAACCTCATTTCCTGGCAAATTGCTCAGTGCACCATTACCATCAGCTCTGGTTGGGTGAAGAGTACAGGAAGGCATGCCAGGAGCAGCACAAGACATGACTTGAAATGATGTGTCAACTTCGCAAAGCTACAACACAAGTCTACTTCAAGGCAAGAGCTGCAAGTGATAGAACTAAATGATCCCACAACCTGTGGATCAGATCTGAGCTTTGCAGTCTTTCTGTGCCCAGTTATGAATTGTGGTGAACCATTAAACAAATCTCAGAAGTGGGATGGTCCAGATTATCCCCATCTCTATTATTGGGGAGCAGTGTACATCAGTGCAAATGATGTGGTGGAATTCTTCAAGGTTCTTCAGCCAAAAGTGCCAAATGAATAATCCATCTTGGCCTCCTCTAGAGGTCCCCAGCATTACAGACATCAAGTTTCAGCTAATTTGATTCATTCCATGTTTTATTGCGAAATAGCTGAAGGCACTAGATATTTCAAAGGCTGTAGGCCCTTACAATATTTCAGCAATTGTACTGAAGCCTTATGCTCCAGCGCTTACTGTGCCACTAGTCGTGAAGTCAGTACAGCTACAAATCTACCATCTCTCTTTGACAATGTGGAAAACTATCCAATAAAGTCCTGTTAGAAAAATCACACAGATCCAGCTATGGCAATTATTACCCCAAGAGTCTACCCTTGATTGTCAGTTAAGTGTTGGAGGCATCTTCAACAGTTGTATGAAATGACAGTTCCTTAGCAGTGCTTTACTCACTGACACTCGTATTGGGTTTTGCTAGTGCTACTCAGTTGCTGATCTCATTATAGCACTTGTTCAAATATAGACAAAATAAACTGATTCTGAAGTTCTCCAATTCTAGGAAAGAGTCATACCAGACTTGAAACATAAAATCTGTTTCTGTCTCCAGATGCTGTCAGAAACTGTTGAGGTTCTCCAGCATTCTCTGTGTTTGTTTCAGATTTCCAGCATCTGCGAGTTTTTGCCTCTATTTATATGACCAGAGGAGTTGTGAATGGCTTAATGATGAACAACTGCCGAATACAACTAAAAGCAACAAAGATAAGGGAAACAAATCGACGGTACGGGTTGTGACCTAAGTTTGTTAAATCCAGCGTCCGATCCAGGAGGCTGTGAAAAGTAGTTCATCCAAAGATGAGGTGCTGTACCTCAAGTTTCAGTTGAGCATCATTGGAACACTGCAGGGGGTTGTGATCTGAAGGGCAGTGAAATGGAGAATTAAAAGGAAGGATGACCAGAAGCTTGGAGTTACCCTTGCAGACTGAATGGAGCTGTTCCACAAAGCAAGCACCCAGTCTGTTTGCTTTCCAAAATATCGAGCAAATTGCATTGTGAGCCTTTAATCCTTTCAGTCCAAACATGTGCCTAGGTGATAAGTGTCTTGTGAATCTAACGAAGAAAATGGGGTATTCCATTGAAAAAACCAGAATTTCACAAGAAATAGTTTTCTTCGTAGCTTGTTGGAGATCTGCTAATGTCACATACTAAAAATATTGCTCATAATCGTAGTCCTTGTTAAAATGTGATTAACCCTATTGTGGTTCACGATCCTGATGCTGTTGTATGACAGATTAGGTAGTCAGATCAGTGAGCAATAGGTTTTCTTATTTCATCGTAAACGGAAATTCTTAGCTGTTCGAAAATATCAATGTGTTAGTATGATGTCTTAAAGTTTTGAATGTCTTTATGCTGGAAAAATATAAGGTACATCTTAATTCTTTCTCACTCATGTTCCTTTTAATTAATAGTGAAAGAAGAGAAAAAGAAGCATATTATATTGATGCTCACCTGAGTTTTTCAGAAATTAAAATAAAGGACTTTGAAATAAATTTTGTATGTGTTGTCTTAAGTGAAGAAATTGAACGAGTAAGCTTCATTTTCATCAAGCCAGCAGGTAAGTTCTTCCTAATTTAGGATAAAATGAATTGGAATGTCAATTAGTCCATGATTTGACTTTGCAACTAGTAGAAAAGATAATTTTTCATCCTGTGAAGATCTTGTCTTTAATCACAATCCCACTAGAAAATAAATAGACATCATTTTGCCCTGCATCAAATCAGATGATTTGACTACTTAACGCAAATTTTCATCTGAATATTATTCCTCTCAATTTCTAGCTACCTCTTTGCAGAGTGAACATTTGTGTGTAGATTGCTTTATATGAGGTGGTCTTCATAAACTGGGAAGTATAGTTTCGTCTTAAAAGGTTCAGTGGCCATCTGAAGTGAAGGACGCTGTGGAAAGTCTGTGACACGTTATCTCTTCTCAATCGTTGCTACAAGATACCTTTGATGTATTCATCCTACACAATTGTTGGACTTCAGCATTGAGTCCTATGACTTTATTGCAGTTGTTGCTATTTTTCCTAATACTAAGACAGGCTAAAAGTTAGTCAGAAACTGACAGTCCAGGATGGTAATCTGATGAGAAGAGCTGTTTAAATTCATAAAAGCTTTCTGAAAAGTTAACTACTTCTTGAAGGTTGTGTAATCCCAGTGAGGTCAAAAGTTGCATAATCTTCCTGTTAATAAAGCAAATTCCTTGTTTTATTATAATGTCCAGGAATATTATTGTTTTCCATCTCTTTAGAGTCACTTCTGAGTCCAAATATTCTGCTGTTTTTGGAATAAAATTTTTGAGATGCCATTAAATGTTACTCTTAAGAGGGCTTCCCATTTAAGTGGTAGCTTCTTGGTATCAGTTATAGAAATCAACCAGAGTCCATTGATGATGTATTTCAGTTACTCATATGTAGCCCTGTTTTATTTGGGAATATTTCAGAATTCAGATTGTTCTGCAATATTGGTTAGATTCTTTGCTTTGAAAACACTCTGATTGCATTGAGGCCTGAAAGCTCCAAACGTCATCAGCAAATTGAATGATTATGGTTTCAGGTAACTGCTGAGCCATGATCATGATTAAGGTCAGATCATGTGAGGAAAACGTCTGCATAGATTAGCAACATATAAAACTGCAAGAAATAGTCCATTTATACCATTATTGCCATCTTAGCATTTGCTGCTGTAGAATTTTTTCACATTTACATGAACAAGCAACATTCATTTGTACCCAAATACGTTTCTGAAAGATTTTACAACTACTTACATTGGGTAGAATCCCATTAGCTAGGAAACTTTGATTGGAACAAGTGATCTCCAAGCAACTTTCACTATCCATTACATGTGGGTAACAATAGGGGAATTTAGAGCTTTTGTCAGCACATTTACCAGTCAAGGCAATACCTTACTATATACAAGTGAAATAAGAATTACTTTAGCCAGAGTTGGGTTTTCTGTCTAAATATGTTAGCCTCTGACATCTCTGGATATCCTTGGTGTTACATCTCTTCCTGTAAACAATAACTTGTTACAGCACCACTGTACACAGAAACTAAAACTGAATAGACTTGTGAATGCTGAAGCCTTACCAGTCATTAGTGAAGTTAATCCAGCTTTTAAAGTCTTTTGTGGCTACACAGGTCTAGTTAAAACGTATTACTTGTGGTTTTCTTTCGTGACTAAGGCTCTGTGAAGATGAGCAGTAGTAAAATTTATTTCAGTGCATGTACAGGGATGAATCATATTGCTGCCTCATCTGTCCCCATTGTATTCTGTCAGTAAATGAGGCAGATTCAGGCTCAATTCAAATGAGTAGAACTACTTCCGGAGACGTTTTGCAACATTAGAAGGTGATAAAGGAATGAAATTGTTTCAAAATAAAGATAATTTTCAAATCTTTTAAGCAAGAGTATTCTTTGGAAGCTTATTACATTTTCATGATAAAATATTATACTTAAGTATAACAGATTTGATACCAAATACTGATTTGTATTATCTGTAGTGACCTGCGTTCTTTTCTTTGTAGTTTCAAATGCTGCATCAGATTTTGTGGTTGGTCTGGCTGTGCTGATTAGTATCATTCTGGTGAGCATTTGCATCTACAAGTTTGTAAAATCCAAGCATCCACTGAGATATGCAATCCTGAAGTGAACACTATTGCAGGTAAGCACAGATCCTTTCATCTGGTTAAACCTATCAATATGTTAGCTTTTAGGGTCTAAACCGAAATTCACTAGTAAAATAATTATCCAATACATATTAAAATCTTTTGGTTTCAAATTCTTATGGTTACCTACAAATTCATATTAAACCACATTTCAAGTTTAATAATTGAACATAACCAATATAACCAATTGTTCTAAAGCTGAATTATGCAAAGCTAAATCTGTTGTTGACTTTGAGTCATCATGGTTATAAACATCCACAAATTATGGATGAACAAATCTAATTGGGATTTCCGAACTATTAAAAATGAAGATTCTATTTTTTTAATGTGAACGTTCGTGGCTGGGCCAGCATTTACTGCACATGCGTAACTGCCCTTGAACTGAATGGTCTGCTGGGCCATTTCAGAGGATAGTTGAGAGTCAACCACATTGCTGCAGGTCTGGAGTCACATGTAGGCCAGACCATGTAAGCATGACAGTTTCCATCTATAAAGGACATTAGTGAACCAGATGAGTTTTTCCTTAAAATCAACAATGGATTCATGGTCATTATTAGACTCCTAATTCCAGGTCTTTTTTGAATTCAAATTCCACCATCTGCTGTGGTGAGATTTGAACGTAGGTTCCCAGAACATAACTGGATCTCTGGTTTAACAGTCCAGTGATAATACCACGAGGCCATCGCCTCCCCTACACAATGTAAAGAGGCTACATGGGTAAAAGCTGGTGGTTTCTTTGTAGGCTCTGGGTGGAGGGCTTTTTCAATGACAGAGTCCCTGAATGTAGGGGTTACCTTTGCTTAATTACAGCCCCATCTCTCAATGACAATTCCCTCAACACCTTTCAAGGCCTCTTCCTTGCTGGCTGATCCTGGCCAGTCACTATACCTGCAGTGATTAGAACTCCCAGTGATGCTGCAAGGGCAGAGAAGCTACTGACTCTCCAAACGGCTGGCAGTTTTGGGAGATAGGGAGATGGTGGTTTTGTGATAATATGACTGGACTAGTAATCTAGAGTCCCGGACTAATGTTCTGGGGGCATCGGTTCACAGATGGTGAAATTTAAGTTTTTAAAAAAACCCTGGAATTTAAAAAAAAAAGTTAGTCTAATGATGACCACATAACCATTGTTCATTGTCATAAAAACCCATCTCGTTCACTAATTTCCTTTAGGGAAGGAAATCTACCACCTTTACTTTGTCCAGCCTACATGTGACTCCAGACACACTGAAATGTGGTTGACTCTTAACTGCCCTGTGGGCAATTAGAAATGGGCATAAATGCTCACCTGATGCCCCGATTCTGGGAATTAATTTTTAAAAAGCGTCCCTTTTTCATCACTGGTGGAATAGCAGGGTTGGCAGACTGAGGCCATTGCCCACTGAAGGATCTGGACAGGACTCCGGGCAGGAAGGCATTCCTCAACATCCCACACCCCTGACTGAATGACAGGAAGTAAATGAGCTCTCAATCCCTATTTTCCGTCCCATCCTCCACCTCCCAACCTGCTGCTATAAAGCTGACCAACACCATAAAAAGTAGGAACAGATGTAGGCCATTGAGACTGCTCTACCATTCATGAGATTATGGTTGACCTGATAATCCTCAAATCTACTTTCCTGCCTTTTACTTATATTACTTAATTCCCTTACCAATTCAAAAATCTGTCTATTCGGCCTTGAATATACTTAATGATCAAGCCTCAATAGCCTTTCTGATAAAGATTTTCACAGATTCACTACTTCTGAGAGAAGAAATTCCTTTTTATCTCTGTGCTAACTGGGTGACCCTTGTCTGAGACAGGGTGCACGGTGGCTCAGTAGTTAACACTGCTGCCTCACAGTGCCAGGATGACTGTCTGTGTGCAGTTTGCACATTCTCCCTGTGTCTGTGTGGGTTGCCTCTGGATGCTGCGGTTTCCTCCCGCAGCCAAAGATGTGCCGGTTAGGTGGATCGGCCATGCTAAATTGCCCATAGTGTCCAGGGATGTGCAGGCTTGGTGGGATAGCTGTGGGAAATGTGGAGTTACAGGGATAGGGTGAAAGGTTGAGTTTTGGTGAGATGCTGTTTGGAGGTTTGGTGTGGATTCTGCCACAGCAAACAGTGCATTTTGAATTCATTAAAAATCTGGATTTAAGCATCTAATGATGACCATGAATCAATTGGTGAAAAGACATGTCTCGTTCACTAATCTCTTCAGGGAAGGAAGCTACTAGTCTGGCCTACATGTGACTCCAGACCCACAGCAATGTGGTTGACACTGGGATGAGCAATAAATGCTGCCTTAACTGAGAAGCCCTCATCCCAAGAATGAATAAAAAAAAGTATTGTGTTCTCTTGCTTTCAAATGCAACCTCTATAAATTTTCAGGATTAAATTCCATTTGCTATTGTACTGCTTGCAAAAGGGATTTCCATTTGACTCTGACTTGTTTGGCTTTGTTGCCTTCTGGTTTTTTTTCATGTTTGAACAAATATCCCCCAAAACTCATTATAACAGCCACATCTCTTTCCTTATCAACTTTCTTTGGCTGTGCTGTTTTTATTATTGGCCCCCAACTGAATGCTCATCTCCTGATAGAACTTTAAGCTCAATATACAATGAATTCTTCTGTCACCATTGCCTCTGCACCAAATTTTTTGCCTGGAGTCCTTCGCCTGTACAGTGCACTTCTATTTTCACTCTTTACCCACCTGCCCCCACCTCCAGTCTTTAGAATTTTCATTCCATCTGAAACCCTGCCCCTGGCTTCTTAATCAAAGGTCATCAACCTGAAATGTTAATTTTGTTTCTGTCTCCACAGATGTTGTGCAACCCTATTTCCAGGATTTTCTGTTTTCAGTATGTTAAACGATTTCTTTTGTCTGACATGTACCTGGAATTTAAGTGCATGTTTAGTAACCAACTGCATAAGTTTGTGAAGATTAATTTATTTCTGAGGTTTTGTCTTTAATTTTGAAATTATAGATTGAATATACTGTATATTACTTCTTGCTGCTTGATATACATAATATACATAAATCAGTTCCTTTGAAGCTACAGTCACCTTAAAATGCCACCTTGACATTCTTGTTAAAGCACTTGCTGCATTATGGCTGAGCAGCTAGCAAAGCTTAAATTTGATGGATTCTGAACTCTCAAACTCATGAGAAAATGGTTCCAATGGTCATTTACTGCAATTGTGCTTGTGTTCTTGGAATTTTCTTCCTATAATTTCATTAGGTGATAAATTAGGAAATAGAAAATCCATGCCATTACGTTGGTTATTACAGCCATTATGCATGCTGCATTGTAACGGAATGTTGATGTGATGCTATGTTTTGAGAATTTTTTTTTCTGTTTTCACATACTTTTACATTCTATGTTGCTATTTGACATTAGTTACAGAAGTGAGATTATGCTTGTATTCCCCTCAATTGTCATGATTTTTACTGCATGGACATCAAAATAATAAGACCTTACAAAAAACACCAAGCTTAACATAATGTCATTATACTATATTATTGTTTGGACTTATTAAAATGGATACATTTTACTGACAATTAGTTTAAATCAATTTTGCTTTCATTCTATATTTTGGTCCCATAGTTGTTGAGACAGATGTCTTAAAGTTTATTAACTGCTTACATTGCTGTAAGAACTTAGGCTTAAACATTATCTGGGTTCTGTGCCTACTGCTGCTAATGCAACTACAGCAACTACAGATGTTGCCCCTGTTTTGAGAGACCAATGCCAAGAATTAAGTGGCTGTTGATTTAAGGCCAAGACCCGTGGACATAAATCTTGGCTGGAATTGAGTGGAGTATTGAGCAAATGTTGCATATGAGAAGACCAAGAAGATGGATAGAAAAATACCGGCTGGTTCATCAACCATATACCATTCAGACATATATTGCAAATAAATTACGCCATTATTCTCATAAGGCATAAATCTCCTGGGACAAAGAGAAAGAAAAAATAAAATAAAGAAAGCAATAACTCACTTCAAAAAGGTTCCCTTCGACCCAAAAGTTGTTGGAAAATGAACTCCAGCAGATAAAATGAGCACAAGGGAAATGACACAATCTCCATGTGCCTTCTGTGTTCAGCAATAACAGTTTTCTTCTGGAATGTTTCAGAGATAGTAGGAACTGCAGATGCTGGAGAATCTGAGATAACAAGGTGTAGAGCTGGATAAACACAGCAGGCCAAGCAGCATCAGAGGAGCAGGAAGGCTGACGTTTCGGGCCTAGACCCTTCAGAAAACCAGCTCTACACCTTGTTATCTCTCTTCTTCTGGAATGTGGTCACTTCCTTTATGAATATTTACAACTAATGTATACCCACTGCATAAGGGAGCAACCTAACCTAAAGCTGAGACATTTCCTGATAAGCTTAAATCCTACGCTTCTGTCGCAAAGCAACTGTATGCATAACCACCTATTCTCCCTAATTATCAAAAGATCTGTGCGCATGTGAACAGGCTGGACTTTATATCATTTTATATATTTCAATCAAATCTTGCTAAAGTTTACAATTTTCCAGAGTGAAATTAATCAATTTGCCTCAGCCTAGCATAAGAGCTAAGGGTTTTTAAATTAAGTGTGAATCTAGAGCTGCTCGTCAGAAACTTTTCCGGGGCCTCAATAATTCCCACCATATGAGGGTACCAAAGCCGAACACCACAATTTCAGGTTCATTTTAGGACTAATCTTGTACATGCACACTTTGTGTGTTTTGGTACTGGAGGAAGTGTTATGTGCAGATCCTTGGTGAAGTTCACCAATTTGTTATGGTTCCAAATGGGATACCTCAAAATGCTGAGCTCTGGGATGAGGAGGTATTAACTGGCTCCCTTTCTTTGTTCATCTGCTCCCCAACCACCTGCAGATGGTAGCAACAAGGTTCATTTAGAAACAGATCCCTTCCTTTGCCGATACCTTTCTCCAGACCTAAATGAACCTCTGTTTTGAAAAAGGCCAATTTAGCCAGGCTTTCTTGAATTAACAAAGAGTGACTGTATTAGTTAATAAATTTGAGAAGAATTAGTACACAACGCGCCTACAAAGATTAGAAGTAGGATGGAAGTCCAAAAGATAAAAGTTAAATAAATGATACACCAATCACTCTGAATTATTTGTGAAGAGTGGATAGTTGTACATTTCAGCTGACAGAGTGGTGTTACTCATAGTATCAACTTCATAGTTGACACTTGGTTTCACAATCCTTGGCTTTGCAGATAGATTCAGATTCTGCAGTTCTAATTCCTTTCAAACAAGATTGACCTCCAATATTTGGAGTGAGAATCCTTTTGTTGTCCTGCTTCCTTTGTCTGACTTCTAGCTAGCTGGCTTTTGGCACACTATGTGAGGGATTCCCTTTACCTGCATTACAGGGATGAGTAAATGTTAGTTCTTTGACTGTGAACTTTATAGCTGGTGCGATTGAGAGCCTTCAATCCCACTAGCAAACGCCTGCATGGTTAAAACTGGCCTTTTAACCTCTACGCTTACGTATTCTCCAAAGGGTAGAACAGAAAACTTGTCTACTGTTTTAGACATGATCTGCAGAGATTGACTTGTTGTTGAGCAGGAGGTCATAAGGCCCTCATTAGCTTTGTGGTCTCATGAGATCAGAATCCAGTCTGTTCTGACTTGCATCTTGCCTTCTTTGAAGGGCTGTTGTTTGAACTTACCTTTGTGTGCATTGGTGTGACATTCTCTCTCTCCCTCTCTCTCTCTCTCTCTCTCTTTCTCTCTTTCTCTCTCTTTCTCTCTTGCCCTCTCTTTCTCTCTTCCTCCCACTCTCCCTCTCTTCCTCCCACTCTCTCTCTCTTCCTCCCTCTCTCTCTCTCTCCCCCCTCTCTCTCTCTCCCCCCTCTCTCTCTCTCCACCAACCCCACCCGCAGACAACAACTTAACTTACACTCGAAGGCATGTTCTGAATATTTCAGCCCTATTTTAATAAGCAATTTTGAAACTAAAGTTAAGAAAAAAAATTGTCATATTTGACAAAAATTGATGACATAGCTTACCTATATATATCCTGATACACTATTTGCTTTAACTGTAAACATCTGATGCTGGCCATAAACCTTTAGAGATTTGAGTACTTTTTTAACAATTGGATTTCTTGCCCTCTCAACAAATTTCAATTTAAATGTCAAACAAAATATACAACACTGGATCAGGTGTAATACTTCATTCAAAGATCTTTACACCAGCACAAATTGTCATATCATCTGCTAATTTGAAGGCAATATTCCATGCCTTCATCAAGCTCAGTAATGTACATTGTGAAAGTGTACTGAGCCTAATATCAATTCCTGCAGCACTGCTCCAATGGTTAATCTCTCTGTGGAGCCATTGCCATCAATAATAACCTTCTGTTTCCGAGAAAGCAACCAACTCCTTATCCAAGATAACAAGGTGTAGAGCTGGATGAACACAGCAGGCCAAGCAGCATCAGAGGACCAGGAAGGCTGATGTTTCTGGCCTCGACCCTTCTTCAGAAATCATTGAAATTACCTTTATGTGCATTGGTGTGACTCTCTCTCTCTCTCTCATCCAACTATCTCAACTCCTTATCCAACCCAGAATCTGTCCACCAAACCCACAGAGCCCTATCATGCATAGTAACCTATTGTAAGGCACCTTATCAATCTTTCTTAAAGTGCAAATCTCATTTCTCTACTATGCTACCTTCATCCAACAAATGGAAAAACCTCTCAAACTATTATATTATGCAAGTAAGCCATGACCCCTATTTCCTGAAGACATTTTACATATCTCTAATGTATCCTCCTTTATCATGGTGGTTATATCAAGCACCCCAACGAATCCTCCTAGCATTTTCCTAGTACTGTACCACTTTCTAGCCAATGCACCATCATTTTTTAGTTCTAACTTTGCTTTTTAAATATTTGAATAGCATTAGCCTTCTTCCAGTCACTGCCAACAATATCACACTTTCGAATATGTGGGTAAAGACTCATTTAGTGCAGCCACCATTTTGTTAACCAACTTGAATCAGTTTCCATTTGGACAAACAGTTCAACTTGATTTCTATTTAAGATTTCTTATTATTTTCAAAAACTAATTTTCACCTTCTTTGAATGCTAACTTCAATGCCAGCTGTGCATTGCCTTATTGTTAATTGACCACATTCTACACAGTAGTTTACATTTATAAAGGGCTTTTAACATAATAAAACTTGCTAAGATGCCTCTCAAGGTTATGAAAACAAATATGACACCGAGCTACATATGGAGAGTTTTAGGTCAGATGAGTAAATATCTGGTCAAAGAAGTAGGTTTTAAACGGTACCTTAAAAAAAGGAAAATGAGGCAGAGAAGTATAGGAAGGGTATCCTAGAGTTTAGAGCACAGATATTGCAAACATCAATGGTGGAGTGGTTAAAAACAGGACTACTTAAGAGGCCAGAATGAGAAGAGTATTGATAACTTGAAGTGTTATGGGACTGCAGGAGATTTAAAAAATAGTATTGACAGGGATTATAGTCAAACCTAAAGGATTCTTCTCCAATCCTATCAAGTATGCCCGGCTGTTTGTGGTAATAAGAGAGGAGTCTGAGTGAAGGCTATGCAGGCCACAGTGGCCTGGTAACGGTTGTGATGGAGACGGTTGTCATGGTTATGGAGAAATCTGAAACTGGGAGCCAATGGAGGTCAATAAGTACGGAGTGAAAGATGGATGGAACTTGGTGTGAAATAACATATAGGCTTCATTATTTTGGTTGAGTTCAAGTTTACAGAAGGTAAAATGTGTGTGATCAGCTGAGAGTGTATTGCGGTAGTTAAATGTAGAAATAACAGAGGCATAAATGAGGATTTCAGCAACAGATGAGCTACAATAAGTGAACTTGAGTGATGTTATTAGGGTGAAAACTTTAGTGAAATTGAGATCAGAGCTAAGCTGATCGTCGAATGTTTCAGCAAGGTTGTGAATGGACTGACACTTTCAGGAGGTTGCTGTAGTGAGGGATAGAATCAGTAGCTAGGGAATAGAATGGAGACTGAAAAAATATTTCACTATTACCAGTATCTAAAAGAAGTATTCTGCTCATCAATTACTGGATGTTGGATCGAAGGATTCTTGTAGAGGTTTATCCACAGTGGAGATGGTGGTGAGGTAGAACAGGATGTTGACAGCATATTTGTGCAAGCTAACATTGCATTTTGGATGATGCTGAGGGGCAGCAGATAGACAAGAACTTGGAAGGATCCGAAGATAAATCCTTGGGGGATACCAGAGTTAACAGTATTGGGTTAAGAAGAGAAGCCATTGCAAATGGTTCCCTGCAGTGATTAGATTCAGTATATAACCAGTTGACAGCTCTCCCAGTCAGCTGGATGAGAGTGGAGAGATGTTGGAAAAGATGCTGTGGTCAAACATGTCAAAGGATGCAGACAAATTAAGAAAGATGAGGAAGGAAAGTTTATCTTTTTTCCACTCTCATAAGGTGTCATTTGTATCTTTGGTAAGTGTTGTTTCAGCCCAGTGGCAAGAGAGGAAACTTGATAAGAGGG